CTTTGAGTACTTCAAACTGTAGTTGCTGGAATGCACGGGCACTGGAGAGATTGCAACAAATGTATAGGTGACTACTGTACTGCTCTGCCCCACTGCAACATGTACTCGACAACCATCGGCAGCTGAGAACTTCTGTCATGCTACTTCGACGGGTCGTTGTCGACCACATGTGAAGAAATCAGCAGTAATCGATAGTGATACTGGTAACATTAAACACAGCATGCATTGTGCTGTTGTAAGTCTTAGTTTTAAAAGTAGCTGGATAGGCATACCGTTCTCGTTTGAATCGTTTCCGCCGTTCGTCCAACTTCTCAGAATAATGGAGTGTTCCCCGAAACATGCACGATGCCCAAGCATGTACACACACACATACACACACACACACACACACACACACACACACACACACACACACACACATGCACACAAAACACACACACACACACACACACACACACAAAATGTTCAGTATTCCTGAAAATCCTAGCGAGTCTGGTTGCGGAAAGGAATGCTGATCTGCACTATTCTTTTGTGAGGAATCACCTGCGGTGCAAGATTTCATTTTGCTCAGCACGATAGGCTATCGTGTGCTTCAAGGGCGCTCGAACATCCTCTCGCTGCAGGCGGATACCCTTCGCAGCTGAATGGAGGCTCAGAGCCGGTCAGCAGTAACTTCCTGGTACCACCCTTCTGCAGAAATTTGTAGTCACTGTCATAATAACAAGTTCCTATCACATTTAAATGCGTTGTCTTGTTCTTCCATTGTTGTTCTTACTTTCTACTAATTGTAATGAAAAGAATTGGTAGTAGAAGTAGTGGGCGTGTGTAAGCGTGTGTGCATGTGTGAGCATGTGTGTGTGTGTGTACATTGTCCGATGGTGATGTTCTGTCGGGGATGCCGGGGCTGCTGATGCTGCTGCTGTTGTTGCTGCATCATTGCCATCGAGAATGCAGTGGATCCATGTGTTTGTTTCGAGGAGAGCACATCATCAGGAACATCACGAAGAAATTACAAAATACATTGCCAGCCCTCGTCACTGACACGGCAAAAGAGAACAGTGATTCAGAAACCCCGAAAAGGGAAATGATTTTCACTTGCACAAGAGTGCTGCTACTGTCGCCCAGTATTTCAAACACGCCAACATGCCTAGCTAAAGTCTGCATTGAAAAATAATGATATCTACAGGTTCTGCTCAATCCAACCAGCACATCCATCTAAGTTCTCTAACGCTAACTGAGACGGAATCAATGCAAGATCTGGTCATATGCACATAGCACCTATTCGGTAGGGCACTGTCCTGTCAAGACAGGGATGCTGGGTTCGAATCCCGTTTGTGGATCCTTCTTTTGCAATAGTTTGAACAATCCAGTGCTGGATCAAAGTTGTTTGTTGAACTGACAAGGACTCGTCTAGAGTGTAGCTTAGGGAATGTCCCTGAACGTGTACCCCTTTGAATCTCTTTCGACCTTGATAGTATTCACATTCAGGGTCCGCACCACTCCTTGAATTCCTTGAAAGTCCTTGAATGTCAAAGCCGGATTTGAAAGTGCTTGAATATCCTTGAATTTTCGTGTGGGTGCTTAATTTTTGAGAAAAGTGTGTTTTCCTTGATTTTGGGTTTGAATGCGGTAGATCTACTCACGTTCATGCAGTAGGTCTACGCGCACTGCTGGGTACCCGTAACCGGTACCGTAGTCCGTAGATCTAGTACCAAGAGTGGATCCACTCTCGGTAGTACTGATAGGGATCTCAGCGCGTGAGCTGCGCAGCCTGTTTGCGCAGGTGAGATTTTCGATCCCAAACGCGTCCAGTGCAGAAACCCTGAAAAATAACATTTTTTCGAAATAAAGCAAGTTGAAGAAGACGGTAGAAATGGCTGAATATTGCGTCCAGGAAAGCACGTTCTACGGTCATTTCCAAGCTACCTATCTCCCAGGCACTCTCTCAGAGGAACTATGGAGGGTCAAAGAGCACAATAGTTCACTCTTGGACGCAGCGTGAACACCTCTTCTTCTGAGCGCGATGTCTTCTCTCTGAGTGATAATGGCGGCGATGTTCCAACCAACGGTTAGCCCACCAACTAATGTCCTTGAATGTCCTTGAAAAAATGGGGTTTGGGGCCCTTGAAAACCCTTGAATAATATTTTCATGACTTGGTGCGAACCCTGACATTAAAAAAATCAAGCAATGAAAAGTCATCCACAGTTATATTACTGGTAGTAGCACGGCTAGATACTCAAGTCAAAAACTGTGTTCACCCTGATAATCCGCCATGCCCGAAAATTTGGTGAATATTGTGTTTGAGTTTAGGTACCCTAATATCAAAAGAGCCTCAAGGGTCATACACGTTCCGGGAAATTCCTTAAGCTACAGTCTAGACGAGTCCTTGTCAGTTCAACAAACAATCTTGCTCCAGCATTGGATTGTTAAAACTGTTGCAAAAGAAGGATCCACGAGCAGGATTCAAACCCAGCACCCCTCTCTTTCCAGGACAGTGCCCTACCAATTAGGACCCGGTTACACATGCACTCGAAAGTAGCGGATCCGCTGAAGCGACATCACGGGAGCGAAAAATACCATGGTAACAGCGAAAAGCGGAACTTCCGCTTCAGCGGAAACTCCAATCCGCTTCCTCCAAAATTTTCGAAGCGAGACTGTCGCTTCTGCGGTTTCGCTTCAGCGGAAAACACCACGGTCTGCTGTATATGGACTTGATACGAGAAATTTTTATGCGTATGTCCATGCAACAAAAATGCGTGCAAGATAGTCATTGACCTTGTCTATTCTCCGTGCCGTATGCACCACAATCCACTTTACTCTCATTTTCCGCCAAAGTAGGAGTTTTCCCTGTTTGTACGTGTGACCATACACACGTGGTTTCGTGGGAGCGACACCAGGCTCGCTGTCGCAAAACCTTGATGCCGAAGCGAACCCCAGTGCATGTGGTACCGGGCCCTTAGGCTACCGGAGATCACACACACCCATCCCGTGGGTCCTTCTTTCTACAAAACTCACTGGTGCTTTGCTGCGGTCCATGCTTGTCCACGAAGGCTGTTGCTGCTGTTGCTGCTGATGGCGTTGCTGGTGTGCTAGCTGTGGCTGCTCCTGGGGTTGCTCCCGGGATTCAGGTGATGCTTGCGACCGTGCTGGCAGACCACCAGACCGCGCCGGTGGTCTCTACAAGGAACGGAGAGATCACCAATAACAGGATTCAACACAATAAATGAAGCAAGTTGCGCATTCATCATGCACATCTTTTGCGAGAGGTTAATAACAGGATTAGGATATTTTCAGAACAAATTCACCATGCACATAGAGAATTGGAGCACATAATTAAAACGGTGCCAACTAGCGGGTATTTAGGCAACACTTACCGTATCACTATTATCAGATATAACGAAAATCACATAGGTCCTTGCAATGAAGGATGACACGACATCACAACTAGGAATTTCATGCCCAGCTGGCAATCACAAGGTGACTAATATGATACAGGAAATGCCTGCAGTACCCCCTTTTATACGGTAACATAGTCCAGGATGGCGCTAGGCCTAAGCCGCATGTTACTAAGCGTGAACAGGTAGGTGAGAACTTAGGGGGAGGGGGATCGGTGCTAGTTTGTGAAATGCATTTGCTGGCCCACTGGGCATGGTGTTGCTCAAAGGTGATACAATTTGTGTAAAATGGATGGTAATGTAGGAGGCGCTGGCTACACAGCCAGGGAGTACCAGAACAGGCTCACTATTTGCCACTAACTTAGGTGCTCCATCACGTGATGATACTGAAGTTTGGTAGCAGCAGCAACTTGTTCATGTGGAAACATTTGGGGACAAACTCTATCCTAGTACTACAGGTGATATTTAGTCTGTTGTGCTCGCACCCTCCCCCCCCCCCCCCCTCTCTCCTGACCGTGGTACCTGCACCCTCTCTTTTACTCTCCATTTTGCACCAATTTTAGCACTTCTGAGCAGTGAAAGATAGAGATCTGATTTACATTAGCATGTGCTGCAGAGAGTTAAAATGTTTATTCATTATTCGTTCATCACTTTGACTAGCCTGCATCCAGTAGCAACTGACTTACTTCCGTGGCTTTCAGGTTCACCCATCGCTATGTCTTCCACGTACTCTGGTCTGCTCAAAGTGTAAGGCCAGACTTACAGTACTTTGACGTAATTTCCGTAAATGTATCACCATAGCATCCTCTGCTACTCAACAATCGTTCCATTCCTTTTTCCTCATAATAATGCTGCTAGCAGTATAAATCTCAGGAAGCTTAGACGCCTGTTAGTGATGCGACTTTGGAATAAAGGTACGACGAAAACAGCAAAAACAAGGGATAGGCAAGGGAAATGCGAAAAGGGGAAGGGAGGCGGAGAGCCAGGTTCTCATTATTTTTCGTTTCCGCGACACCCCAATGCAGAGCAACGACTGACTTTGTGCTCGCTCTTACATAATTATGTGCTTGCTAGTCTAAGTTCGTTACCTGGTTACCGTGACAAAGCGCCTGAGCCTAGGCCAGGCAGGTGTCATGGAAGCATGTAGGAAGGACTACTACGACTAGTTAGTCCCTACATGTAGTGCAGTAGTGGCCTGCTTTTGCACAAAGCCTGGCATCACATTTCCAGGAAGCTAGATACTTATAGCGCGCGCTTCCACGAAGCATATTGCATAAAACGCGAGAACCTACTCAACACAGACTCAATACACGACTCCAGACAGTCAGTCCTGTACAGAAGAACAAGGACAATCAAGGCTACCGATAGTTTCCTGCGACTTGAAGTGTCATGCTTTCGCAATCATCAGGCAAAAGGTTGGGTGCCGACCATGCCAGTATAATAATACCGGTATGCCAGGAGAAGGTATGAAAAAGCTGTGAGAATGTGGGGGCTAGCGGTGCTATCTTACTTAGGCAAGAGGCTGTGTGCAGAGTGTGTGGTTGTTGAAAGCAGGGGCTAGCAGTGCAATGTTAATTGTTAGCGCAGAATGTGTGGCTGGTGTCGGCAGGAGGTGGTGAGCAATGATCATGTGTGTGGTTGTTGTAGGCAGGAGGCTATTCTAGAGCTAGCAGTGTGATACTAGCGCAGTGTACATGTATATGGCTGGTGTGGGCACAGTTCTGTATGTAGATTTACTGTCTTGCTGGCCGTCGGCTAAGCCAGGCAGGCCATAGGAGTTATGTACAATTATTATTTGTAACTCTTTTTGCGCCTTTTTGCACCTCCAATGGCGCAGCTCTTGACCCGTCATTCCACAGGGCAGTCGCCTTGAAGTCACTTCCGATGCCGCAGGTCCTGACTTGGCCCTTCCAACACACCGCCTGGTCACCCGTCGGGTGTCTGATTCTTCCGTTGTCTTGATCAATGGCTTTCGTGGTGGTCTTCCACGCTTTCACCCACTTACGCTCGTTGTCACTTCCAGTATTGCCGCCTGCTGGTCTCCTCCAGTACGCATCTGAACCTGGCTGCGAGTGACTCTTCGAGTAGGTGTCCCTGGCATTGTCTTCTTCTGTGTAGTTTCACCAGATCTGCACCTCTTTGCTTTGCCGACGGGTCAAGAGCTGCGACATTGGAGGTGACGAAAAAGACGCGACATTCTAGCAATCAGCAGTTGGCTATCAAGAATCATCTGTTGGTTAGTGATAGTTGTCGTGAGTTGTACAGAGATAGGCCTTGACGGATTATGCTAGCATAATTTTTCGCATAATTCCTACCAAAATCGAATAATCGCATAATTCGAGGCAAATTGCATACGAATCGCATAAAATTGAAATAATCCGCCTGTTCGCATCAAATTCCATACAGTTGTACATGTTCTACAAGTACAAGTACAAGTAGATGCACTAGGAAGTTGTAGGTTTACGACTCCCTTGATAACATGTCCTGTCCACTACAATCAGTGATGGTCGTAGCTAGGTCGGACGGTGCGTTGACCCCGTTGAACTTTTGCTACTACAGTACAACGCCCTCTACAAAAAAATTCCCCTGTTATTTTGCACAGAACCATTATGCATTAGCAGCATATGTGAGCATAATGCGGCATAATTATGATAACTTTAAGCATAAAAATAGCATAATTCTGCAATTTTTTCAGCAATGCGAAAAGCATAATTTCACGAAAATATTAGCATAATCCGTCAAGGCCTATACAGAGATGATGTTTTCTCAGTTTTGGCCCGTGGCAGATCTGTATAACATTTGTCTGTTTTGGAAGGGTTATATATTCGTAAGTTGTCCCCTGAACTATGTGTTCAGCGGAAGGATAATGTGTTGTCACTTCAGTCGTTTGGCGCTAATCCTCGTGAAAGTGTAAGGAATGCTTTTCCTCACTGATGTTTTCATTATGTTTTAGTCATCTCTTCACCTACACCCTGTTTTTGACAAGTTCTGCTGAATTTTATTTTTTCCCACACGTATAGCGTGAGGTTTTCGACCTAAGCTTTTGCTGTAGCTCTATAAGTTGCTGTATTTTGACATTTTCCATTATTCCCTGTACTTACCCATGATGAGAAGGGAACGAAAACGTTCGGTTACAAATTGGCTTACTTGACTGTGTGGATGCGTCGGTGCTGACACCTTTTCTTTCGAAAGTGGATCATGTGACGCCTCCAATTTTTTCCGTACATTATTATTATTATTATTGGACTCAGATTGAGAGCCAAGGTTTAATTTATACAAAGAGAAAGACCAAGGAACTACGAGTTCCGCTATTGTCCACTAACACCTACCAAGTAGGGAGGCTGTTGGAGTGTGCATCCAAGATGTGCTAGAGCTGTTAGCCAGTTAGTTGTAGAACGTCAGTACCGTTGGTCAGTGTCGTGCAATGTTATCGCATGAGCTAATTGTTTAGTAACTGGTGGTGTTAGTGGACAGTATAGCGTAACTTGTAGTTCCTTGGTCTTTCTCTTTGTATAAATTATTATTATTATTAACTAGGTCGTCAAAACCTCGTTAGTTACATGTATGTCCAGTGGTTGTCTCTTGTTGTCGCACTACATGTCACGCTTATTGAGTTTTCTCGCACTAGCACCTTTGTGTCATTATTGCAATTTTCGCTGTTTACTTTACCTATCTTCTTTTTTGCGCTGTTTTACCACCTTCTTACTGCATTTAATCCGCTGTTCCTGTTCCTTTTCCCTTGTCTGTATTTCACGTGACGAGAAGGCTTGAAAGTATACTTGTGAAGACAAAAACTTTCAAGATGTTTGTAATGAGCTTGAAGTGTGTCCTTTTTATGAGTGTTATTAACTGGTTTGAGGGAAAGAGACAAACGGGAAAGGTCTGAAGAAAAAATTGACTGTTACCAGCAGGACTCGAACCAGAGACCCTCGCTTGAAGCCAGCGATGCTCTAACCACTGAGCTATGGTGAAGTCGTCATCCCAGCAGAGACCGCTCAACGTTTTCTTCAGACTTCGTAACTCACACTTCCTGTGAATCCACACAGGCGGGTGGGACGCAGCCCTCACTGTACCCACACACTTCACGTATAAACTAGCACGCGGGGAGCCCCAAGTCAGAAAATATTAACTGGTTTGAGGGAATGAGACAAGCGGGAAAAGTCTGTAGAAAAATTGACTGTCATTATTATTATTAAATAATCTACGTGGAGATAAAAGTTTAATTAATAATAGCTATGAAAAGTATGAATGCCGCAGACATCACCACGCAACATGACAATTTGTTCAAGGTTTGGTTTTGTCTGTTTCCAAAATCGATTTTCAAGCTCCGATCATCAGTGGAAATACGGAACTAAAGTGATCAAGAGAAAAACAAAGGTTAAAAAAATCCAAAGAAGTGTGACACATGACGGGTAACTTGTGGTAAGTATTACAAACAAATTATTATTATTATTATTATTATAATTTGTAGTTCCGGTGGTAGATATCCATGGACAGAATAATCATGGGTGGATCAAATGAAGTGCCATGCCCAAGACTCAAGAATAGATGCATGTCACCTATGTCAGACAGCGCTTGTTTACTACATGACAAGCACGCAGGACGAAACCAAACCGCCTTAAACTGGTCGGTAAAGACAGGGACAGCTCAACACAAAGCTGCATGATCTATACCATAAGAGGTACGAACATGATAATTCTAATGTCATCGCATAGTCGCGAGTTATTGACTGAGGACGAGGTCAACATAGGAAAAAAGCCGGGTAAAAGATAGAGGTGAAGCCGGGGTATTTTACGAGGTTCTATTTCGTATGTTGATAGTACGAAGACAGCGAGGTTCGCCCCCCTTGTCGGGCATTGGTTCAACCATTGTGAGACTTACCATCTCAGCCTCGCCGTTAGGAGCTGCATCTGCCACCCAGGTATCACAGGCATAGTGGTGGCCTGGCACATGCACAACTTCCTAAGCTGGTTGTGTTTCTCAATACAATTGAATTGCATAGCCGGTGGTAACGCGGAAGTGCGAACTTTACTTTTTTTTTAACAAAGTCACTACTAGATTGTTGTCAAGACAACGCAAAACATGTCTTTTGATCCCTAAAAAGGAGTCAAATACAAACAGTCAATATAGCCCTAGCTAGCATGAGGAGTGAAATATGAAGAAATACAACTGCTTAGGTATTAGTCAATGGGAGTCAATAATAAAAGAGTGATAATATGCCAGGGGGCCCGCAGCAACCATGCGATAACAAATTTCTTACATTGCTCACAGAGCAGACCTTTGGGCTGTTGTTAAAACTTGCCAAAAATGCGAACACATTATGACCACAATGTATATTGACGTGATAGTTATTATTTTTAAATAAAACTTTTATTGTATGTATGGGTAACATATCCAGTCTGTATTGTGGTTGTGCAACAGGTGTGTGGGCCACAGGCATATGAATCTGCTGCATGATCAGCCTCCTTCTCCCCTCTCCTTGTGAGTTGGCCTTGGCGGATAATGCTCGAAAAGGTGGCAGATTCTGCTTTTTTTGCACCGAAATTGGCAGAACCATACAAACCTTATGGCGGGCAATTCCTCGAATTCTGCTCCATTTCTTTATCCACATACCAAACATGCATGAAACTCACCAGAAAAAGCACCGAATTCTGCCAATTTTTCTGCCGGCATTATCCGCCAAGGCCTACTTGTGAGTGAATTAATGAATAAGCGAGTTTGTAAAATGCAGCTTCGTGTGATTATGACAATGCTTCAAGTAGTTGTTTGCGAGCAGAGTTGTGTGTCGACGTACAATTGTACATGTATGCGGTTTGTGACTCCCTACTCTTCGTCGTCGCCTCCCCTCCCCCGTACGCTCCACATCCTCCATCGTCCCCGGGCCCCCGTACTCTCCCCCACCCCACCCCACCCCCCCCCCCACGTATTCTTCCCCATCCCCTATACCTCTGTGTCCTTCTCCCTCAACGCCTCTCATGAATAATTATGTTCATCTAGACTACAGAAGAACCTTGACAACGGGTCACAGTGCCTATCAATACACGGCATACAGAGCTTAGTACAAACGAACATCCGTTAGAAGAAAAAGTGATTTTTAAACGTCTCTACTCACTAGTTTCATGCTGGAAAGCAATCTTGAGACATTTAATCTAGACTACTACTGCATCTCTGAGATGGGTCATGTCCTCCCACCAGGGACTGACCACAGAAGTCAGCCAACCCTTGCGCTAACTTTAGCTGCCCACATTGGGAGTTCAGAAGTTGTAGTGATGATCAGATGTGGAGGGCAGGAGCACAAATTAAGTTCACAGGAGGTGCACGCATCCGGATAATTGCACCTCGAAGGAGTCAATGGCCTAAAGCTAATGGCTACGGCGAAGGCAGAGGTGCATATTTTTGATGCATGTACTATATTTGTCAAGTATTCTCCAGAGGCTAATGGATGCCTATCAATGGGAGTTTCCTGGGGAAAGGAAGTAAAGGTGGCTGTTATGTGAGAGGGAAGAAGGGACATGAAAAGGTGAAAAAGTAAAAATAATACAAACAGGAACATATTTGCCTGGAATGGTTTGAGGATCTTGAGGTACAGGGCTTGAAAGTGATG